CCCTCTAACCCCATGGTTCCTCAGATAAACCATTTGGCCAACTGGGAGATGTGCCTCTCGGACTCGCTGGTCATGCCGCTCTTTCCGGCGGCCAGCAGCAGCCAACAACCGTTCACGAGCACCCTCGAAAGCAATTCTGAGCCTGGCTTGATGTTCGACCACCCAGTCCTGTACCCCGCCAAGTACCGGCTCCTGGACTCGACCCAGGAGAAAGTCTATAGGAAGCTGAGGTTCCTGTACAAACATCAGATAGAACGGTGTTTCACCAGTGCCCTGATGAGGCGTAGTGTCATGTTTGCGAGATGCTGGTAAGGTGCGAAGGAGGTTATGGAGGGTTCTATTGAACCGTTCGCATTGCCCGTTACTCGCAGGATGGTGGGGGGTAGTACGGGATTTAGCAACACCGTACAAAGAACAAAGTTGCTGGATCAAAGAACCCTCGAAGCTCCTTCCCTGGTCCGAATGAAGACGGCTTGGGACCCCAAACTTATAAAACCATTCATAGGTCAGGACTTGGGCCACAGTGGAGGCCCGTTGGTCCCGAGTGGGGACAGCTACTGTGAATTTGCTGAACACGTCAGTCATGACAAGGACGTTCTCCAGCCCGTTCCGGGAGGGTTCCAACAAGGTGAAATCTATTGCCAAGATTTCATTGGGTCGTGAGGCAAGCAAGTGGCCCATAAAGCTATGGGGTACATGCCCCGAGTCTTTTGCCACTTGGCAACGTTCACACTCCTGGACCCAGCTCTTGATATCCGAGGACATTCCCGGCCAATAGCATCGTTGTCTGACTAACTCCGTAGTCCTTTCGATTCCTTGGTGGCCATGCTCTTGGTGTAACTGCTTCAATGTTTCCTGCTTGAGAACAGCAGGCAAAATGAGCTGAAGATATTCTTCACCTCCATCAGGGCGGAACACTTGTCGGAAAAGGACTCCGTCGTTCTCCACAAGGCGGTCCCATTGACGTAAAAGCGCCATGACTGGACGGCGAAGCTGCTGCCTCTCCGCCGAGGTAGGCTGAGCCTTACGTCGCCAAAACACCAACACCTCTTCGAGGAGTGGGTCATCTTCCTTCCAGGCACGAAGATCGGTTGCCGAGTGGGTTGGAAGAACCGAGACCGAAGACTGAGTTGCAGGCACCACAAGACCTGAGGATGGGTTTTGGTGAAGGTTGGCAGGGAGCAAAGTACCAGGCACATACTGCCGTGAAAGTGCGTCAGCATTCCCATTGCTGCGACCAGAGCGGTATTTGACAACAAAGTCAAAAGACGCAAGCTGGGCCGCCCACCGTTGCTCCGTGGCGCCCAGTTTGGCAGACTGGATGTAACTCAACGGGTTGTTGTCGGTGTAAACAGTACACTTATGCCCCAGTAGGTACTCTCGAAACTTCTCGGTCATGGCCCAAGGAATTCCAGCTTCATGGAACTATAGTTTGACATGTTGCGCTCAGTTGGGCCGAAGACCCCTGCTGGCATAAGCCACCAGTCTCACAACCCTGTCCTTCTCCTGGGAAAGGACAGCCCCAAGGCCACTATGACTGGCATCAATCTCCAAGATGAAGGGGCGTGAAAAGTCTGCATAAGCCAGCAATGGAGCTGAGACCAGCTTGGATTTCAGGGACTCAAAACATTCCTCACACTGAGGTGTCCATGAGTTGATTTGATCTCCTCTTTGACTTGGTGCCTGCCAGCTCTGCCACTAACTGATGCAGAGGTCCTGCCAACTTTGCAAAACCCTCTACAAAGCGACGGTAATAGCTGGCAAAACCTAAGAAGGAGCGCAGCTCTGAAACATGACGAGGGCATTTCCAATTTGCCACTGCCTCAATCTTCCTAGGGTATGTGGAGACACCCTGGCTGGAGATGACATGGCCCAAGTATCCAACCTCCTGTTTGAAGAAGACACATTTCTGAAGGTTGGCCTTTAGGCCCTCTTTCTCAAGCCGACCAAGCACTGTTTCCAATCTTTGCAGATGTTGTTCAACAGAGGATGAGAAGACGATGATGTCATCAAGATAGAGCAGTAGCGACAGGCCCTGTTGGTCGCCAAACATCCTCTGCATCAGCCGCTGGAAGGTGCTAGGGGCATTGCATAACCCGAAGGGCATGCGGTTGAACTCAAAGAGGCCAAAAGGTGTACAGAAAGCGGTCTTGGGCCGGTCCTGCTCTGCCATAGGAACCTGATTGTAACCACTGGCTAGGTCAAGGGTGGAGAACCAGCAGGCCCCAGAAAGTGCATCCAAGGTTTCCTCAATGCGAGGCAAGGGGAAGGCATCTTTCCTGGTCTTGCTGTTGAGGAGGCGGTAGTCAACACACAAGCGCAAGCTCCCATCCCTTTTCCTCACCAGAACAATTGGTGATGCATAGGGGCTGCAGCTCTCCCTAATGACTTGGGACTCCAAGAGTGGGTTAATGTGGGCCTTCACTGCTTCGTACTCCGATGGAGGGATGCGGCGGTGCCTCTGTCGGACAGGCACATCATCAAGTACGGGGATGTCATGCGAAATGAGAGTTGTACAGCCCAAGTCTCCATCATGGGCTGAGAAGACAGATTGGTACCTGAACAACAAAGACTTTACGCCTGTCTTTTCCTGCTCAGTCAATGAAGACATGTCCAATGTATCTAACCTATCGTGCACTGAGGGGGCAGCTGTCTGAGAGGAAACAGCTGCAAAGGATGACCCCACCTCAGTCACACCTGCGGGAAGGCTGACAACCTGGGCAGCACTCAAGACACCAAGACCAGTACGTGGGTAAAGCAGAACTTCGGTCGTCCCCACATTGACCACAGGGACGTATGCTGTACCCCGGACAACCTGTACGAGGCATGGTGAGGCGAGCAGCCCAGCTGGTAAGCCCGACTCTGGGGGCTCGAACAGAGCACTTTGACCAGAAAGCTGTTCAGGACAGGTACTAGCAACCAGCTTCATCACCCCTCCAGGTATGCGCACTACATGCTTTCCCCGGACCCTCGAAATGCCAGTGAGTTTCCCTGGAACCTGAGCGGGAGACTGGTGGACCTCCTGTAGAGCTGCGATGACAGCAACAGGTGCCTGTGACACGATGGGTGTGTCAAAAAGAGAAGAGCCAAAGGCCCCGAAGAGCTCTCGATAGCAGCGACGAATCACATTCATCCCCAGGATTCCAGGGACAGGAGACACAGCACCAGGGGGGTCCTTAACGATCAGGATCCCACAACGGGACATCACTTTAACACACAGCTCTACATCAAGTTCCAAGTAGCCAATGTATGGAATGGCTAAGCCGTTAGCTACTCGCAGCTGTAGCGAGTGACAAGAGCGAAGGCGATCAAAGCCCCAAGGTGCAAACTTCTCCAAAAAGAAACTCTCAGTGACTATGGACACCATGGAACCAGTGTCCACCAAGCACGGGACAGTTACACCTCCGATCATAACATTAATGTTTGGACAAGAGCCAATTAAGTCAGCTGCGGCACCTTCTAGTGAACCTGTAGACTCCCCAACTGAGCTGTGGCTCGGCAGCTCAGTGGGTTTTAGTTTTCCGACCGGTAGGAGGGATGGGCTGGCAGAGAAGCACTGGAGTTAACGCCAGCAACAGAATTACTACGATGTCGGGGGGGAGCCCGCACACCATCACACTCCCGAGCAAGATGTCCAGGCTGCTGGCACCTTCGGCATATTAAAGGACCACTACTAGAAGTTTGGCCTTGGAAGCGAGGCATCTGCAGGGAGGCTACAGTCTGGGTAAGTGTGTTCAGCTGCTCCTGTTGACGTTTCATAAGATCCATCAACTCACTCAACCCTGGCCCAGGTGGATTGACCTGAGGGGGGGATTGAAAGTGAACCTGGGGGGGTTGTAAGCGACCCTGCACTCCATACTGAAGACCATAAGCTGATGGCAGAGAGGAGCTACGCCCTCTAGTACCCCCTGGAAGACCCTCCCTTTCCCACCTAATAGCCTTGCCACGAAGTTCCAACAAGGTGGCTGTAGGCTGGCGAAGAACAAGCTGTTTAAGCTCCCGGCGGAGAGAACTGTCCAGAACATGCTCAATAAACTGATCCCGAAGGAGAACATCTGCATTGGGCATCCCATGAGGTGCATGCTGCTCAACCTGAGCCATTAAAGCCATGAGGGCTAAGGAGAACTCCTGAAGGGTCTCACCTTCAAGTTGGTGCCGAGAAAAGAAAGCTTGTTGTAAGGTGACATAAGACTGAGCACAACCATAAAGCTCCCTTAAGATGGTGAACACTGTCTGAGTCTCCTCGCTCTATAGCCCAGGGCGAAACTTGATCTCCTCCTTCGCCTCTCCCTCCAAATGATCAAATATGTAGAGGGCTTGGTCCGCAGCAGAAAGATGGCAGGCACGCACACATGCCTGTACTTCTTCTATCCATTCAGTTACGCCCATGCCTGTCTTGCCACTAAACATGGGACACTTACGATCCCTTGGAATAACAATAACCCGCTCAGCAGCAGTGACACCTGCATACATGTCAGGACGACCCGGCGCAGAAGAAACACCACCAGAGTCCATCCGCGAAGCAGCATGCTCCTGACGAAGTTTCTCGTTGTCTGCCCTAAGCTCCATCACTAGCTCGCGGAGCTGCTGCATCTCGTCCTCCATAACAACTGAGGAAAGCTACACCAAAGCCACACAAAATGGTATGAAGAGAGGGATCCCTATATTACACTCACAACATGGAACAGTCTGCAAAAAGAATGGAAAATTACCAAGCTAGTACCACTACATGTTTTTAAAGCTCGGTTGGATGCTACAAAATCAGATGCTGTTGGTACCTGTACTTGTGGTTAAATATGTAAATTGTAATCCCTGTACATTTTGCTGTATGATGTCCTTTTGTTGTTCTGTTGTTTATGTCTTCTTGTGGAACCTACTGCTGCAGGTCTCCCTTGAAAAATAGATCATTGATCTCAATGGGATTTTACCTGGATAAATAAAGGTTTTGAATTGAATTGACACACTGCTGTTTTGGGCTCTACAATTACATATATGGGAAAAGACACTTACTGCTGAAACTAAACATCAAAAAGGTAAGAAAACTAAACAAAAACGTATCTCTGCCCCTTTAACATGGTGATCCTGCCGACAACGCCAGAATGTGGCGGTGTGGTGCTCACGGTTACGGCGTCCCAACTTTTACAGCTAGGCGCTGCCACAGAGCCCACCAGGAAGGGAGAATGTTTATGGCACCCCTGGAAAGAGGTTTAAAATGACTGGTGAATAGCCTACTTAAGTTTATTGAATTAAAAGTTATCTATGGGGAAATTCATACATACCAGCCTGTGCGGCCAGTTGCAGCCACAGAGCCCACAGGGAAGGGAGAGAGAGACCCAACAATCCCACGGCCAAATCCCACTGTGACATGAATAACAGTCAGTACACCAGAGAAACCAAGCTGAAGGTGAGAATACGGCAGACAACGGCAACTCACCAATAGTTGCAACACTGCAAGACCGGGAACCTCCGGAGGAGCCAATCCTCCTCAAACGCACCGGGCGTCAGCTGCGCTAAAACAGAGTAGTGTCAAACCGGGTGTCGCTCGTGCCCATGAATAAATGACAGAATGCAAGATGTTTTACCTGTCTGGTAGAGAGTGTGATGCGCGAGCTGCCACGCCAAACAATCCACGCGGCCACAAAGGAGAAGCGGAGGGGGAGGGAGCAGATTTGTCTCCTCCACTTAAATAGCAGGTGCGCAAAATAGCAGGTGCACTGGCATGGTGCCAAGCAGCGTCACAGAGGGAGGAGACGTGACGTCCGGTCACATCTAGTACAGGGGTGCACATAACTGGTACGCAGGTTATGTGCGTAATCTGAAATGCGTCCCGTCACTTGTGTCACAAAGCGCATTTGCGTACCGACGTACTTGTGAAGCTTTTCCAGAAGGCGGTTAGATCACCGGACGACAGAGTCGGTCTCCGTGTGCACAGACAAGCAGAGATGGGGTCGTTACTAAAAAAAAGTAATATATTACATATTACTTTTTAAAAAAGTAATATATTACACTACTTCGTTACTCTCTACATAAAGTAACTCGTTACTTTACTCGTTACTTTACTTGCAGGGCCGGCCCGCCCCTCCCTACAGGCAGATCACGCAGACTGCGGTGCACCTACAGTGTGCGCGCCACAGTTTTGCCTCTGCGAGACTCCACTTGCACCCCCAATTACTATTGCATTAAGGAAGACATAACACAAGTCTTTCTTTTTATATGCTCTAAAATAGGCTACCAGCCTACCACAACAAACTAACAGTCTGTCAAACGTCAAGACACTAATTAATTAAACCAGTTCAAGACGCATTATTATTATCATTCTTTATGAGGGCAGTAACGGTAAGGTATCTAATTACTTATGTATTTAGTATTCCATAACTTAGTAATAGAGATGGTCAAACTAAAATGGTAGAGACAGAATTCCTACAATGAAGCGGGACATTGAACTGTTCACCCGTGAGAGGGCGATCAACAAAAGAGAGCGAGCGGCCCCGTTGAGGGAGTTTACAGATGAAAAGACTCATCCATGTTTATGCAGCACTGCACGTGGAGATGTGGTCTCGCAAGTCGCGCAGATTACATAGGCCTACATGTATATAAACCTGCGGCGGAAACCCCTCTAGTCTGTCAGTGAGTGTGATTATTTTATAAAAGTAACGAAGTAACGCGTGTCGGGGCAATGTTAGTAACTGTAGTGTGATTACCAAATTATAAAAGTAACGCGTTACACTACTCCGTTACCGACAATCGTGCTATTATTGCAGTAACGCGTTGTTAACGTCGGTCTGTACAACGGCATTGTGCCAAAACTACGCCAACCGGCTGCGGAGGGAGACTCCCCCCCTTCACTGGAGAACTGCGCTAAAACAGCTGATCACAACATTCACACTCTGTGGTCACGAAGTACTCCACCTAGCCCCCCCCCCCCCCCTGTTGATATAAATCAACACGTAATGAAATAAGACCCCACTGTTTGATGATTGATAGGTGCTCTCTTTCATTTTGACACACAGAAAAATGTTACAATAAACATGTTAAATGGATATATTGTGGTGATTGACATTATTCACCCACGGATCTATGGGTTGGGGCAGCGCCATATAGAAGAGTTACGACAACGGAAGTCCAAAAACGGTTATCGTCACGTGGTTCATGTAGACGAGGATCGTTCCCCGGAAGTTCATGGCGGGCAATGTGAATGTGTTGATAACAGGAGATAGAACTACGATTTTTGGTAATTATTAGTGAATAAAGGTTTTGATTTGCAATATTTATACAATAAATCAATATGTGTATGTATTTACATCAATACGTTTTAAAAAATAGAATAGAATTTGCTAATATTAAGTGATAATATTAGGATTAGTGTGAACAACTAGTTTACATGTTAGGCTAACAGTGCCTTGGTTGCCTGTTGCTGTTTATTTATAGCTTTGAATTCTTTAAAACCAATATTATCTTCTTAAACTTGTATGGTAGTCAGGAGCATCACTTTCTAATGTTTATTGATATATTTAGAGGGAGGGGATCTAAAGTAATGCTTTAAAATTCAGATTAGATTAATTTCTACCATTTTCTTAAATTCATGGTAGTTTCAGTAATCCCCTGGTAATTGAGGACACAAGTTATCTAAATGACTAATGTCATCTTTATGGCTTTCAGAAAGGACAAGTGACTATCAAAGGACTAGCAGCAGCAGCATGATGATGATGATGTTAAATGTGTTGTTTTAGGAACATCCATTGCAAATACATGGAATTCAATAAACATTGAATAGCATATCATGCAGTTTGTCTGTTCCTTTTCCTCCGTGTTGTCCTGGTTTGCTGTGCTGCCTCCTAGTCGCCACCATGGTTTGCTGTGCTGCCTGGGATGCTCAAATCGCTCTGAGAAAGGAGTACGAATGTACGGCTTCCCCACTGACACAGAGCGGAGGAAAAAATGGCTGACTCAAGTCAGCAGGAGCAATTTTACGACCAACAGCAAAAAAATATGTGATTTAATTATATACAAACACTGCATTTGCACTTTTTCACAAAACGAAAACCACACCATTGGGAAAGCTTAATGTTTTGTTTAATACAAAAAAACAGGGAAAGGCTTGAAAAACACTGAGAGTTGAGACTCAGGGTGCAGGGTGAGGGTCTCAGTGCAGGTATTCAGGCTCCATTGAATCCCCCTCTGGTTCTTGTGCTGAAAGAGGGAGTAACAGACAGGAGAAAGGGTTATACACAGGGCTGCACATAACTGGTGCGCATGCGCACCTCCGCCAAAAAAAGAGCACCGGGTCATTTGAAAAAAGGCGCATTTGTGTACCAAAATTGAGAGAGGGAGAGAGAGAGAGAAGAGAGGAGAGAGGAGAGAAAGATATTTGCGAGTTGAATATGAACTCAGGGTCGGCCCGTAGCACTGGCGTTATAGATGTTCGCCTAGGGCGCTATATCTGGGGAGTCGCTGCGCTGGCAGTTCTGGGAGGGAAAAAAACATTTTTGACCGTTGGGGCTCATCCTAATTTTCGGCCTTGATGTAACAATATTCATAATTAAGTAAATGTAACACCCTTTTCACCCCGGTTACACGTTTCATTTGCCCTGTACAATGGGCGCTGTAAGTGATGAAAATGGGGGATGTTGGCTTATCTGGCGCCCGCAGCTCACAGCCAAAATGCCAATGAGCGAGGGAGAGAGAGAAGGGCACACCACCCGGTGTTGTTATTAGAATCTGGTGCTAGCATCTCTAACGGATATAAGAAGAAGATGTTTCTACAATAATGTGGAGGGAGAGTTCTCTCCAGTCAGACTGAGAGGCTGATACTACAGCTCAGTGAGGTAAATTACTCTGAGTGTTTAGATAGTTCACTTTAGTCTAAGTTCAAACAGTTTGGTCACAATTTATGTAAACACATATTTCCAAGGCACTACTTTATAATTATTGGGATAAACAGGTTTGAAATCATTCTAATGCATAATATAGGACAGTAACCAAAAATATCCTTTAAAACTGGAGAGATCCAAAAAAAAAATGCATAAATAAATGTTAAGGTAAAATAATATATGAATGAACAACACAAATAAAATAAGTTACATTCATTTGTTATTGGCTATGGTAGGTTATTGGTTATGTTCACATACTTATTTGATTACATCCACTTGTCTAAGATGACAACAGAGACTTTCGACCCAAACCCAGCTGTTGACTTGTGGATGGATGCAAGCAGCTAATCGCAGACTCAACCAGAGAGGAAGTAGTAGGCCTACATCATCAGCTACCATGTCTGACACAGAGGAAGACAGTGAAGAGAACAGTCAGGAGGGTAGTGATGACAGCTTGTAGGATTACTGGTCGTGCTAATGTTGTCTTGTGTTCACCTCTGCATGTGTGTTCTGTGTTCACCTCTGCATGTGTGTTCAGTGCCGTGTGTCTGGCAAATAAAGTCAAGACCCCCTCAAAAGTTACAGTTTATTTCATTTTAAGGATGAGCACCAAGCAAAATCTCCAGGTGCTCCTTTGAGAACCAGGGCAAAAAAGTGATGTGCACCCCTGGTTATACACACCTATATAGCACACCTATTGGATGGGAAATTACCTTGGGGAGATAAGGTGTTTACTTATATAAAACAGTAGTATTAAACTTACCTTGTGTTTTCACTCTCACTTAAGTCCCTCTCCCTTTGCCATCAATCCAAAATCAGCTGAGCTGCAACATTATACAGACAGGTAATAATCAACATAATCACAAGGACACAATATGGCTCTGCTAAAAACACTCACTCTTACACGCACCAAAGTTATATTTATCTAATATTTAACTCCCTCCACCCCCGCATACAATCCCGTTTAGAAGCCCCTCTTCTCTAATTCAACAACGTTGGACCAAATAGACATTAAGAGAACGGAATTTACAATTAAAAGGCTGTTCAACGTGTGTTGCTAACTTGCTTCGGTATCCTAGCTTAATCTGTTATCTGTAATCGTTCCCTAAATCTACTAATTTAGGGATAATCCACTGACATCCTTTAATACACATGTTAATTTGAATCAGATGTACTGATAATATCCGCAATATAAATCTTTAAACTTCTTCTTACCTTTAAAAGTCCGTCAGGAACGGTCTATTATGCTGCAACTCTATAGCTCTGCTAGCCTTGGCGCTAACTTCCGGGGAACGATTGAGAGGCTCCACGATCCGCCATTGCTGTAAAAAAAGTGGTCCATTGGAGTGAACGGAGATGACATAACTCTCAGTCTATATGGCGCTGGGTTGGGGTATTGTTCCGTACGGACATTTGAGTGAGCCGGACTTCCTGTTTCCGCCGGTCTTCGCTTCCCGGGCGGGCATGAAGTTGTTTACATGTGTGTTCAGATGCTAAATAAAAGTATAGCTTGTGTTGAACTGTTGTGAACGATTCATCTCTTGAATGCTCTTATGCTGACGTCATATCTGTCAATCTGTCAATCACACAGCTGGTTCTAATAAAGGGATCATTGCTGGCTCACTCGGAGAACTCAGTCAGTGTCATGTGAACTACAATGCAAGTGTGTGGCGTCTTTTATTCCTCCGTAGTATTAGTCCAAGGCTATCTAGACCTTTGCTGGTAATGGCTGCTGCGCCAACAGGTTATGGGCCCAGAAAGGATTTTGGAAACCGATGGAATCGTTTGTGCTTTGACGGAGATGAGAAAAACTATGAGTTGTGGGAAACAAAGTT